TACGGTCAGTGTGCGGGTGGGTGACCGCTGGGTCCCTGCGTAGGGACCGAGGGTGTGCGGTATTGGTCATCGTTAAACAGTTCTACCGTAAAGTGCTCGACTTCGCGTGCAGGTCGTCGGGCTACCGAAGCGGGGGTGCCCTCTCCTCTGCAGAGGATCGAAATTGTGCTGGCATGTCTTCGGATCATCCTCAGGGATATTTCCCAGACCGTCACCGATAGCCCATTGTGCAGATCTAGTGTGACGTAAATGAGCAACAAGAACAACAACAATCTAATAGAATTATAAAATCTATTCCTTATTAAGCATTTCTTGAAAGTAAGTTTTGTAGTTCGTTTAGAGTATTGATGAACATCTTGGAAAAATTTTTGCTGTAATTACCGTAGATTTTAACAGCATCATCCGGATCGGGCTTTCCCAGTTAAAACAAGAATTAAAGAATATTTTGAGAACTCTAAAAACAGAAAAATGTAGATATAAAATTACTTACTCAAAAATATTCATTGAATCATTTTATTACATTTTGATTTTTATGAATAATTCATGAAATTTTTTTGAATTTTCAAATTTTTTATACTAGCCTACTAAGGTAGCTCCTTTAACTATTGAGTGGTATTATGTTGAAAAAAATTTGTTAAGAAAGAAAAACGAGAAGTTAATATCCAAGATGGCGCAATAAGACAAATTTCAAAAGAAACTGATGAGCCTTTAGAATAGGGATAGACAATGCTGTAAAAATTGTGTAGCATTGAGCCACATTTGTACATAAGAGTGCTGTAATAAATGCATTTACTAATACGAAAATGTATACACTAATAAGAAAAAAAACTAATAATTGAACTTAATTTCGCAGTTTCGTTTAGGAAAATGACATTTTTCGTATATTTTCGGTCGAAATATACCAGTTTAAAAACGTTATGTATAACAGAAAGTCGTATAAATGATGCAACAAATTTCTAGGGTAGTTTGATTCAGGATTAAAATTGCATAGAAACCGATGTCCAGAAATGGCGTCTTAAACATCAGGGATCACTTCTTTATTATGGACAGTTTGTCTGTTTCTGAACAAGTTATAGGGGAAGTGTATGTTTTACAAGTTATAGTTATAGGGGAAGTGTATTTTCCCAGCGTTTGACAACATTTCCAGGCATGGCATTCCTGTGCAGTTTTAATCCCGATGATTCCCAATTTATTTTACTAAACCAAAACACTTTTCTTGGAATAACAGTAATTGCCATTACTAAGAAAAATGCACACGAAACAGATTAAGTTGATATCTATGATTGTACAGTATAGTGTTTTGTCGTCATCACTCTCTATGTGTATTTCTAGAATCCTTATCAAAAGTAAGAATAAAAAAAATGTACACAATAAGGTCTTAGATTAATATTTTTGTGATGTAAAAACTAAACTACTGTTGATATCTGGCAAATCAGAGTAATGGAACATGGGTGTAATGAACACCAAAGCTAGTTTAATGGAGGTTGAAAGTTGAAGGCATTTCAAATAATTCTTTGATTCCATCTTAGTTTTCTCTCAATATCAAACATGTTCAATTGCTTATCACATTCATTTTCCTGCACTGTGATATATCAGATTTTGATAGTGTTTTCGGTTTTTCTCTCGCTTGAATATTAACTTGCTACCCTCAATGTGTGCACTGATTTCTTTTCGCTTTTGATGAGGAATCTAAAAATGCGTGTTAGGACCTACTAACGAAAACGAATTAAGGTATTTCAACTGTTAAATAATATAGTTAATATCTTTCAAAAATTAAGTGAACCGTAATCTAAAGTTGAAGTGTCTGATGGTAATCTAATGATTAGTCAAATATTTAGATTGTTGATTATTTTCAGACAGATGAGGAAAAACACTTGTATTTTCATGAAAGATAAGAGATTTTTCTGCGTATTAGACTAAGGTGTTAAAGATAAGTCAAACCATTTTTATTTTTGTTTGTCTTTTTTATTTTTATTTTTTGACAACACAATATTTTATTTAAAGGTCAAATAATAATATAAATTAAATTTTGGTAAATAATAACACAACGAAGTTTATAATAACAACGTTCATAACGACTCGGTAAAGTTTATAATGAGTCAAAAAAGCTCACAATGACTTAGAAAAGTTCATAATGGCCTAACATGTTTCGCAGTGATTCAGTAAATTTCATAATGACTTAATAAAGTTTGAAGTTACTCATCAAAGTTCATAATGACTCATCAAAGTTCATAATGACTTAATAAAGTTTATAGTAACTCATCAAAGTTCATAATGACTCGAAAAAGTTCATAATGACTTAATAAAGTTTGTAGTAACTCATCAAAGTTCATAATGACTCAGAAAAGTTCATCATGTCTTAATTTAAGTTTGTAGTTGCTAATCAAAGTTCATAATGACTCAGTAAGTTTCATGATGACTCCATTAAAGTCATATTGACTCAATAAATTTCATAATGACTCAATAAAGTTCATTATAAGATAGCTAAGTTCTTAATAACTCGGTAAAGCCATAGTTATGTCTGTCACAGTCATTAAAGTCTGTTAAAGTTGTCAAAGCTGTTAAAGTCGTGCTTTTAATGTCTAGGCCTAGAGTTGACTCAATCTAGGATAGCGATAATCACATAATTCACACCCGCTTGTAACAGCCAGTAAATAACTGTCGTATGAAAGAGCGAAAACCCTTCTTTTTCTTTCGTGGCAAGCGCTCTTCAAAGCTTTCTTCTCTCGCCAAACATTTCTTCACTTTGGAAGACTTAGCTAGAAGCTTCTTTTCTCTCCCATCAATAATGTAAGTATGAGGGCAACCATCATCGCTGAAATTAAAGAGGAAAAAATGAATTATTTTGTGTTAGTCTTGATTGTTCTCTTTTTTATCAGCCTTGCTGTAAAGTACTTTCAGAAATAATTAAATATAAATAGTAAAAATTTCCTATTTATTTCATTAAAATTTTATAACCTCTAAAATTATTTTTTTAACTATTTTCAGCTTCATATAAGCCTTACTTTTTAATTAGATCCATTTTTTGTTGGATAAGAAGTCAAATAACAGGCGCTTATTGAGAATCGAAATTTTTTAAGGACGATAGGATTTTAAGCAAAGTGTTTTTTATGTTAGATGAAAACAATACGAGTATGTGCTATCTCAAAAATTAATTTTAACGTTAGAATCTTAGAAATTTAATCTGACGAAAGAAATTATTCCCTAACAGACGTTTACAAGCTAAAATGAATTCGTAAAACATAAACGAATCCTAATATTTAAATAATTTAACTATTTTTAGCAAACGTTTTTTTATTCTCTATAAAAACAATAAGTGTATTCGTTATCTTAGAAACTTCTAACGAAAGAACTTGTTTCATCAGGGTATATTAAAAATATTTTTATTTTGGCATATCATTAATTTCCGCAAAATTCGCTGCTATGAAGTTATGAAAAGTATAATGTTTAAGCTATGAGAAGAATAACTTCTAAACTTTGCAAAATATAATTCATTTAACAAATAAGGATTTAAAGAAGTCTATTTTTGCTCTAGAACAATATAATTTTCCTACTAGAATAATAAATCTAATTATTTTAGGGATATCCATAAATGATGACATACATTGTTTGAACTTTTTTGAAATTTTTTCCACATGTCTCAAACTTCACCATACCTCCTTTAATTCTTTTGTCGCACGTCGTGCTACATAACACAAATATACTTTGTAGTACGGAAACTAAGCACATCGTTAAATATCATAAGTTTTTGTATTAATACATACATAGTAATATTATGATACACATGTGTGAACATAGTAGTATTAAGTATTAAATGTATACTATAAAAGAGAGGATTATGACAAATATCACAATCAATGAATTTTGCTTAAGTTCATTAAATTTTGTTTAATGTAAATCAGTCACATTTACACTACGCAAATATTTTCCGCCCTTGAAACAGTTTTTTTAATTCGTTTCTTCATTCATTCAAACGTAATAGCTTACGATGATGTTTTTTCATTAGTTGTTGTTACTCCTGTACAAAGTGTCTTTAAAAATTCTTCCTGATTAATGTCAAGGGAAATTTATTCTGCGAAATTGAATGCTATTACTTTCTTATTACCGATATGTATTGAAATCGTAAATTATTTATTTAGAAGCATATACTTTTTAGTTGCCCACATATTAAAATTTCCTTAAAAGTAAAAAAAGGTTTATTTTTTAACATTGTAAATTAATATATTTATCAAAGTAACTATTTTTTTAAAAATAAGGTAAATTTAAAACTATTATATATGTTTTTGATATCTGAATATCAAAATACCGACAGTGTTAATTAATGTTAGTTCATTAAAAGTACACAATGTAAAAAGCAGCGGGAAAGTTTTCAGTTCATTTCAGAGTGAAAAGCTGCACGAATAATAATTTTCAAAGCATATCGAAAATTACATTTATTTATGAGAAAAATCATTTAAATTATAATAAATTTAAAAACATTTTTACAATTAGATATTATTAGTTTATAAATGATATTAATTATTAAATATACACTTATTATATTAACAATTATGATTGAAATGCGATAATGTTAGTTTAAATTACCTCATTGTAGCAGTGCCGATATTAATGGCACCTGTAATTTCTTTTGTTTCCTCTAAAGTTGCCTCAACCTGTTTTATTTCATTACCCACATCATGAGTTTCAGAGCTAAAATTGTATAAAAAAATTATCTTTATGTATTGATCACTAAATATAGCGATTTTTTTTTCATTATTTTGTTTTTGTAACTCGTGTTCAAAATATTATGATGGTAACTTCTTGCTTAATGCAAGTTTATGTTAAAGTTGTTAAGCTCAATATTTTTTTATCTTTTTACTAAAAATTAGTACTTAATCCGATTTCTTATGATGATTTTTAATTTTTTGTTGTGGCGCAATTCTTAATGTTTTTAACTTTAATATTAATAATTTTTATATTATTATGCGATTTAAAAACTATTCTTAAAAACTATATCTTATAAACTATTCTAAAACTATATTCTATAAAAACTATATCTTAAATATAGTAAGTTGTTAATAATAAAGCCGGACACTATAATTTTTATTTATTCAATTTGAAACTTTGAATTCAGTAAAAAATGATTAACGCTTTTTCTAACTCATAATGTTTGTACAAGCAATAATAATAAGTAATATTAATAAGAACTGTTCTTTTTTTTTCATTAGAAAAAATTTGAAATTTTTGCACACTGCCTTACTCTGTAAAACTCCTATAAATGCATATTGTTTTGATTCGAGAATTTTCAAATAATTCAGACACTTAAAACATAAGTAGATGCTATAAATGGAAATGCATAAAATATTATGCAAATATTTATAATTATAGTAAAATAAATATTTAGAACCGAATAAAGGGGAAAGAACCGCGAAAGAAAGAACCGAATTCTTTCTTAAAAATGGTCTTTTGAATTATATAAAAATTTGTTTTCAATCCAAACTATTTTTTGCTATATCCAATGAATAAAAAGAAAGAAATCAAAGTTCTGAATTGAATAGAAAGCGATAGTATTTCAAAATCACAATGTGTATGTTTATCATAATAATACATTTAGCAAATTTTTTTTTTCATATGAAATAAAGCTAATTCAAATCTTTCATGTACATTTTCATTTTTTCTCATTCGAAATTCTTTAAAATCGAATTGTCGTGTTGTTTTTTATGTATTCATAAAATTTCGACAAATCGAAGGTAAACAAAAGTAAGCATGGAATATTATATAGAATACTTATGTGGTTAAATTAAATATTCAGAAAATAATAAGTTAAATATTTTTTGAAAATAACCTCATCACAGTAAGATCACAATCATTAGATCCATTTGCTTGATTCTGACCATCCACAAAAGCCAGATTAGTTTCATGTTCTGTTTCAATTTCAACGTTCGAGTCAGACATCATATCACTGAAATTATAGAAGAAAAATATAAAGTTTCTTTTTTATAAATCAAGATTTTGTAGTAAATTACATTTAAAAAAATTTAGAGTGGCTTTCACCAACATTTATTCAAATGTTTTATTGCCTTAATTAAAGATAAAGTTTATTCTATTTAAAAATTTCTAATATTAATTTTTAACATTACATTTTATATCAAAAAACTTTGGTGTAAAACTAGCTACGAAAATTCGTCAAACATTAGTATACTCACATCTCCATAGTTTACATTTTTTTAAACTTTTTTTTGTTTGAAAAACATCACAAAAATTATTTGATGAATAAAATTTTTGATGAACAATTTTTGATGAATAACATTTTTATCTATCAAATTTAGAAATTTGAATTAAGAGAAAAATGGCAGTTTTTTTAACAGTAATAAAAGCTATATTTAAACTATAATGGATAATAATAAAAATAAATTTAATGAGAATTCTTTGTCTTCATAAGAAATAAGGCAATTGAAATCATTCATGTAAGTTTTTCTTTCGTAAAACTGAAGAATTGTCATTGAAGAATTTTGTAGTATAAGAAGCTCTGGAAATACGTTAAACGTTGATATGCTCATATCTCTATACTTAAAAGTAATTTTTTTAAGAAGTCACAAAAATTTGTCGAATCCTATTCATTCACTTTAGAATAGTGAATTTAATGAAAAATGGTGATGTTTTTACGAAAACATTAATATAAAATATATTCAAAATATAAAAAGTAATAGTTAATAATTGTAATAATAGTGAATTTAATACGAATTTGATTTTTTTTTTCATATGAAATAAGCCATTTGAAATCATTCATGTATATTTTCGAATATTGAAACCTATTTTAAATTCATACTGCCTTAGTTCATATGTATTCATACAATGTTCACAAATAAAACAATCAGATAAATGAGAAACTTAGAAAATTAAATAAATACTTATAAAACTATTTAATTAAATATTACGATAAGAATAAGAACGAAAAATATTAAAAATTACCTAATCATAGCAGAATCATAATCCTCAGAACCATTTATTTGATTCTGTTCATCCACAAATACCTCGTAAGTATTGTCTCTTGTTTCAGTTTCATCATCTGAGTCAGACAATTCATCACTAAAATTATACGAGAAAAAAAATAATTGAAATATTTTTTTTCTCATCAGGTTTTTCCTGTAACTCATATTCAATTATTGTTAAATGCATTTTTTTTCTGATTTCATTTAAAAGTTTTAAAATTTAAATTCTTAATGAAGATTTTTATCTTTTTATTTTAAATTAATAATTTTTCTATTAATAAATAGCAATTAAAATGATGCTTATCAAGTGAGGATATGTACTTACGTTTGATATACTCCTAAAATTTTGATATATTCGTTGATATACACCTAAAATTGCTTTTAAAAATAATTTTAATAAAATACAACATAAAAACTTATTTTTTGCGGCATAAAATTTTTATCTCTCGCATTTAAAATTTGGAATAAAATTTTTAGATTTTGAAATTTAATTTGTTTTTGAATAATAATAAGAACAAATTTAATAAAAACTCATTTTCTTTAACAATAAATCATACTAATTTGTAACCAATGTGTTCGTTTTGCCTGCATAAATATCTTTTTAAATTCATAATATTGTTCCGTTTGTTTGCAAATAATTTGTCCTAGTCAAAACTAACCGTAACTAAAAATCGGAAAAAATAAAAAAAAATTATTATCTTGTTTAAATAATTAAGAATGAGAGACCCGCTCTGAAATATACTGCGCCAATATGGTACGTCGTCCACAGAAATCTTGTCCCAATAGAAATAGATGCAGAAGTGTTTACGTAGTTTAGTAGGCACAATGAGTGAAAAAATAGACTTCTTTGAATAACTTTTGATCTAATGATCGGATCTTCACGTTATAGGACTCCTTTTTAGAGGTTCAAGAGAGTGACCTCAAATATGTTAATTAATAAGTGCAGACAATACATGTAGTTACAAAATCCGACGCGGAGAGATATTTTCTCTGAATAAACATATCTTTGATTCGACATTTCCGACCCTTTATAGGGAGTAGTCGCAATTTGGGAAATGCGGTCCCAATAGAGTAATCCAAAGTTTTGATCCTTAATGATAGATGAAAATCACCAATACATCTTTTAGTGTCATCACTTGGCTGCGGGTTTCTCGAACCGGTTTGCAACCCGGTTTTGAACAGATTTGTCTTTATCTATGAAGACACACCTTGTGTTCCATTTCTTAATTTGATTTAAATTCTTAAGTTGTTGTTTTAACATTTTTAAATGGTTGGGTGACACCGCCAATCCTTTAAATTGTTTTGTAGGCTGGTCTTATTAAATAAATATTATTGCTGGTCTATTTCTTGTTTAAATGAATATTAGGAGCTGAATACAAAAAAGAAAGTGAAATAAAATTACCTATCAATATCAAAATTAGATTCTTTTGAACCTTCTGATGGATTTGATTCGTCGATAAATTGATGATAACCTATAGATCCTGTTCCTTTTTCATTATCTGCTCCTTCACTATAATTATGAATACAAAAAACATTTAGTGTTTTCATCCGTTTTATATTACAACTCATTTTCAAAATAATTTAAAGTGTATTTCATCCGCTATAATTTTAAGGTTTTAAAGTTTATAATATAAACTAATATTTCTTTCTTTTTTATATTATTTTATTTAAAATAATGTAAAGTGCATTTCTTCTGCTTTTTTGTAAATGTCATTAAGTCTATAACATAAACTGAGATTTCTTTCCTCCTAATATTCTATGTTAGATATTTAAATTTCACAGAATTTCAAATTCGAAATGTAAATCGAACTATATTAGAAAACAAATTATTTTTGCATTTTTGCAAGCACTTAATCATGCCTCATTCGGGGGTGGGCTTTTCCAATCTGAAATCTGTTTTGATCGGAAAATCACTGTATTATTTTGTCAAAATGATATTTTTATTTAGGTTCTGTCTGAATGTACAGTGCAAGTCTAGGTAATGAACGTCGCGATTCACGTCTGAAAGGTCCATTCGCCAAAATTTCTGATGACAGACCAGGGCAACATCAACCCCTGAACAGCATATTAAGACCAAGCAATGCGGACTCTCAGACACAAGGCACCAACTCACGCACTGGATGGTAACATAGCGTCGATAATCTGTTCTTATAGTTCGCCGATAGTCAAATTCAATATAGATTATAGTGCATATCTATAAAGAACTTATACGTTTATAAACTAACATTCACACTTGTTTCCTCCTTCAAAAATGGCACTTAAGACAAACTTGTGATATTAACGTGTAGCATCATAAACCGAAATATATCATCATTTTCTTCCTACCACGCTTAGGAAGTGCTTCGTTATCACTCGAGTGTTTAAAAAATTCTGAATTTTTTATTAAATTGCATAAAAACTGTAGGTTGTAGAGAAAAACCGATATCAGATTTGAAATCAGCGTCGTGAAAGTAAGCAAGATAAGTTCAAATATCTCATGGAACAGGAAACAAAGAAAAAAAATTCCTGAGTGTCATGTTTTGAATAATGTTAATTATTGAAATTTCTTAAATGTATTATTTATATTTTTAAATTGCTTATCGTTTTTAATCAAAAAAAGTTTTAAAACAAGATATTGCTCTGCATCATTGCTTTGCAGGGCATCTATTTACTGAAGATACACTATGGTTACATTGGAATATACCACTCAAAAACACTTTTTATGTAGTTTTTTGATAAATTTTTTAATTTTTTAACATTAACTTTTATGCCAAATAAAGTTACCATAAGCCTATTTTTCAGTGAAATTATAGATTTATGTCACAAAATAGCATTTCAAATATTTATTTTTCAAAAAAATATGTTTACATACCCACTATCAGTCCCAGAAGAGCTGGAACTCGTATCTCTTTCCTCAACCTCTTCACTTGCTGAAATGACATAATAAATTATATCTCAACATAACTTGTTTAAAAATGTAAGGGAGGCCTTAATAAAAAGTAGATAGTGTGAGAAATGCCACAGTGACAGTATCAGCACCCTAAGGTTATAAATGGTATAAGTGATGCAAATCACAGGATGCATTAACAGTCACCTGAGAACTCTTGAACAAATGTAAAGTAGTGATAAGAAGGGTGGACCCAAGAAAAAAAAACAAGCATAATATTGATAGTTTTTTAGAAAAAAGGGAAACCCTTATTATCATGTTATGTTTGCTGTCTTTGGGAAACACTGTCTAGAAAAAAATGGCTACAAACTAAAAGTGTTAAAATTTTTTGAAGGATGTTATGACCGGATCTGTCAAGATCAGAGTAAGGAAATACCTTGATAGTCTGCAATAAGTCCATTGCCACTGTATAAATGATTAGAGGTACTGAAGGATTTTTGACTCGTGACAACTTTGGAGCACTTAATGTAGAAGATGATTCATCCCTTTTTCTCCCTAAAAATAGTAAGACTTCGGGTTTTTTTCTTTTGGGTGCATCTTCCTAAGCCTGACTTTACATTCACTTTAAATGCTTTTATGCGAACTCCTTAATTATGCGTAGTTTTTGGAACACTTTTCTTTCCTTCTTTTAAAAATATGTTCATTCTGATTCATTTTTGCTTATTTCTGACCTTTTATCCCTTTTCTATCCATCATTTGAGCTACTCTAATAAATTTAGTTTTGGTTTCAATATATTATTCAATTATTAGTTCTAATCTGCTGTATTAGTTGAAACATTTCATGAAAAATATTATTTTTTTACTACTTATAAGTATACATTCATTAAAAAAATTCAAAGCTGTGAAAAAAAGTTATCAATTTTAATAATGACGTTTACTTAAAAATAACTCAATTTTAAAAACAACATGAAATTGTTCTTAATATTATTAAAAAATTTTAAAAATGCACGCTAGTAGAAAGAATACTTTTTTCGAATTGATCTCGTGCTTCTTTTTTCCTAATACTTAGGTTAGTCTAATTTTTTATGACTTTTGCAAATTTTTATTTGTGATTGTGTATGGAGATGAAAAAAATGTGAAAGTGTATGGAGAAGAAAAAGCTCAAACAACACCCATTCTTGCAATGGGAATTATATGATACATTAACTTTAACTAAGACCAATCATTTGGTTACCAGATTACTTTAATTACCAAGAAACATACTTTTGTAAAAAATATTAAACTGTTTATGTCTTTTTACTACGCAATAAAGGGACTCATTTTGGATTCAGAAGAATGTGAACACAATTATGGAAATAAAGTAATATAAAGCAAAATAACAGATGAGGCATTATTACCAATTAAGTGATCAGGGCAATTGGTATTTTTACTTATTACGATGGTAAATCGTCAACGAATTGCAAAACTGTTATATGATTTTATGTCAAACTTAGCTGAAAGTTACATTTAAATATCTTCTCGTGTTTACTTTTAAAATTCTTATAATAAAAATTACATTTCCAACTATTAATTTTTTTAATGATATTTTTTCATTCACTCACTGTTTAAAATTTAACTTTTCCTTTATATTTAGAGAAATGAATACTGTAAGTTTAGTGCAATTATATTTCCTAGTATTCAAGGAAAAAATATATATTGTTCTTTCCCTTTATATTATCATTCATTATTAAAAAAGAAAAAAAAAGAGATAATATACCACATTAAAGTATTATACAGGCCTTTTGTTTATGAACTTCCTCCTCTATTTTCATTCGAATATTTTAATCTTTTTTAAAATGTACATTGTCCCAAAGTTTATATTATCTAATTAATGCTTTGACGCAGATGGGAAACCGGTGTCTTTTTATGTATTTACTTCTGACATTAATTACATGCAGAAGTATGTTTTGGTACTTTTTTATTTATAAAAAAACAATTTAATAATTATTAAATCTATTAGTTATAAATATACGTAATTATCGAATTTGAAACATTTACAAATAGCATCAAAAATTAAAATGGCAGTTTAGATTTAATCATTTAAAGGTCTTTCTCTCAAAAAAATTAATCATCTGAACTACTATTATAATTTACCACATGCTAGTTATTTTCAATAAGTTTTAGGTTCATCCTAACGATGTTCTAGTCAATTTTTAAAATAAGTTTAAAATTACTGAAACTTTAAAAGTACATTTTCAACACTTACGAAATGGTCTCGGATGTTCTCTAAGCTGGTTTTGCCAATAATTAATCAATGCAAAGCGATATAATTCACTCATTTTAGTAAAGTTTAAAGCAATTTGTCAAAAAGACGCTATTCATTCAAAATGGCTTCAATAAGAATAATTAAAAAGTGTAAGGTAAAAAAGTAATTTTATACAATGTTTCTGGGTATAACAAAGGCTTTTTCAGTAAATAAATTATATTAAAAATGATTCAATAATGTCTGACGATACACATTTTGATTAAATTTTCCGAAGTATTGTTGTCAACATTTTGAAATTTAATTGTTATAAAGAATGAATAAAATATTGTAAATATAAATTTATGACACAGTAATGCACATGATTCTTAAAATTTTTCTTGATTAAAATATATAACCAATAATACACAAAATAAGAATTATATGTGAAATAAATGTATGTACTTGACGTTTCTTGTAGTAGGACGTATGTAATATGATAATGACGTATCTTGACGTAAACGTCGTATCTTGTTACAAGACTTATGTTATTTGAGAAAGTGTCTTTGTGATGCAAACATCTAGGTTTCCGTAACAAGCAAAAATGCAAAATAAAATATTATAAAATAAATCAAAGTATCAGGTCTGACATAGTAAAAAAAGACCAACTAAATTAACTGTAAAACTTTATTATTGTGATTAAATTGTGAATCATGATAATAAGAAGTAAAAATATAAGTAGGATAAAATAAAAAATAATGTGACAAATTGTCCAATGCCTTATGGTCATGTACTTTTTGGAGTAAATTCTTCACTACACTATCTGGCTTGCCCTGACCACAGTGTTGACGTAAGATATCCTCAGTGGTAAACGGATCATGAGTTACAGTCTCCTAACCGTCAGGATAACCGCGGGAGGTTCTCGTGGTCTTCCTCTCCAATTAACACAAATACGGGTTAGTTCCATCAAAAATTCCTCCACGAAGGCAAATTTCTCCTAATACTTGATCCAGGAGCTCCCTTGTCTTTTGGATAGGGTTCAAAAATACAAGGCTATAGATATTGTTACATTACAGTTACAACTTTAGTTGTCGTGAACCCAAATTTGTGTCGGCTTTTCATGAAATAAAATATAAAAAAATGACTGTTACAAAATGTTGTTTTATATCACAGTGCCGAAATATTTAAATCCTAATAATAAACGTGACGGGTTATACTGTTCACCTAAATAAAATTTGAATTTTGTTCTAATTTTTCTCCTTTCATTTTTTCGTTTTTTTTTGGTGATAAATTGCATTTATTTTAGTAAAAAAAATTAGTTATATCACAGCCTTTATTTTAGTTGTTGATTTATTTTTACCATGATGCATGTTTCTAACAACCGGAGTTGTTTTAAATTTTCGAATAAGGAATTTTTATACTCTTTTAAAATGGTTTTCGAATAAAAAAAAAACATTTTATAGTTCATTAGAAAATTAATTTTCACACTAAACCTTTTAACACAAGGTTGGAAAGATTATGAGACTCCTCAATATAGTTTTTGAATCTTTTACTTAGACATAAAAAACATAACTTAGATTACACATATTAGATCACACATATAATCTAAGCTACATAAAATGTGACTTAGATTACACATTTTTCTAGTTCATTAGAAAATTAATTTTCACACTAAACCTTTTAACACAAGGTTAGAAAGATTATGAGACTCCTCAATATAGTTTTTGAATCTTTTACATGGACATAAAAAACATAACTTAGATTACACATATTAGATTTAAAATTATTGATAAGTTTACTAACTATATATTTTAAGCTCTCAATTTTTATAAAATTTTAATTTTTGTGCTATAACTTAGAAAACTGCTATAACAGAGAAAGAAAGTAAAGACAGTAAAGCGTTAATAGAGTTAAGCGATATAAATGAAAGGAAATGTGTACTTTTCCATAAAAAGTGTTATAACCTGTCCTAAGAATCATTATCCAACTAATTATACCAAAATAAAGAAATGAGTATTTTCGTGATGTAGGGTTTTGGGCAACTTTATTATTATGTCTTTAGCTTGGAAGATAATGATACACTCATAAAAACTACGTCAGCCTACACTTCATTACTTTAGAAAATCATGTCTCTTTTTTTTTCTCCTCAACAATATTTTTGGTACACTTTCAGTTATTTCTCATGTATGTTACAATGTAGAATGTAACTCATTATGTTACATGTAGAATGTAACTCACACGCATGTCATTAAGGATTCTAATCGTAAGAATTAAAGTTTTCGAAAAGAGTATTAAAAATAAAGTTTGTCTTTTAATTTTTTAGAAATAGCAATTTTTCTTGAATTGAAATTGTATTATACGTTAACATTTTCAATTATTTAAACTTGCACAGTAAATAACAAATTATAATGTAAAATTCCTTTAACTCTCAAAGTTATAGGTGCATTCTTTTCAAAGAATTCTATTGTGTGAAAAATATTTTTACATTTTCTTTTATCTGTTGAATGTTGACGAACTAAATTAAGTTCAGTGTTTTCTCCTAAATAGGTTGCATATTGAAATAATAAATTAGTTTGTCGGAAAGTAGAAAACATATTATATATTAAAAAAGGAATGCACTTTATTAACAGTGCTCTGACTGCTTTTGTAATATTCATTTCAAAGTGATGTTTCAATAACTTGCTTTTAGCGCAAAAATATAATCATTGAATAATGATCGAAAAAATATCGCTTTTATTGTATAAAGATTGGGGTGATCATGTCTTTAGCTTCTTAAACATATTTTAGTTTTAATTTTTGCTTATAGATTTTATTAGGTAAAAATTTGGCATCCTGCACTGTAATTATCCTTCATTCAATGTAGTGTCTATGAAACAAAGTACATTATTTGGATTTTAATTTTTAAGAAATCCACTGAGCAGAAAATATCTTAATTGGATTTGCACAATAGATAAGTATTCACAGTTAATCAATCTAGACTCGTAAATATTTCCAAAGTATTCCCTGAACTCCAGTTTGCTTAAAAAAAAGCTATGTTTTCTACTTTACAGAAAGCAATTTGGTAACAGGGGGCTTTTAAAATGTTTTTGTACCAATATTCTGCATCATTTGCTACTTTCAGGGAAGGACAAAATAATGAATACATTTCTTCATAAATCTCAAGAAATGCTTAAAAAATCATTTTATAACTTCAGAAGTGATTAGATCATGCGATTTCTCACATTTATCAATAAAATTTAAAGCTTGAAGGACCGACAATAAATTACAAACAGATAATAGTGTTTTTGATTTATCTATGTCAAAAATTGTAGCAGTAAATTTATAACTTATAAAATTATTTTGGCTTCTATATGCAATAATTGCACAACATTTCTTTAGCCTATTTTAAATATTTATGGAGCTATGGACATTTTAATAAAAAACTAATTTTTTATCCAACGTTTTTCTGCTATAACTAGCCTGTTATAATATTCAATAAAATAAAGTAGAAATTGGAGAAATTTGAAATTTATTACAAAATTATTGTTTTGAAATTTAAAAAAAAATCATTGAAAACTATGTAATATATAAAAAAAATTTTACGCAATATATAGTAGTTCTTTTATACAGCTCATGCGCGGAAAAAAATAACCCAAATATACCGAAGGAAAATTAGATTATGAAAGAGCGGGGCTGAAAGTACTAAAAACGAGAAAGTACCTTCAAATTCCATCTCAAAAATCCAGCTAGAATTTGATGCTTTTGACCTCTCTTTCCTAAATAGCGATTCATCATATTTTTCTTACATTTTTTTTACTTATATATTATATATATTTTTTATATTTATATATTATGATGACAGCACTAAAACGTACACTTTCTTACTTAAATTTCGACACTATATATGTATCTTAATAACATAACAAAAAAGAAATATGCGAATAAAAAGCTCTTTTAAACTCTGTTTTATATTCTAAATAATTAATATTTTATTTTTTTTATTTTAATTTTGAGCTTATTTTTTGTCGTCTAACTTTGTAAAAAATGCCAGTACATTTTTAAAGAAATATCAAATACTTCTTGGATGATAAAACTATTTTTTTTTTGCTGATGCAGGACTTAGGATTAAGACAGGAAACTTAATTAAATTCTTGACATACTTTGCATATTTTCCCTATAAATTGATGTAGACCTAACGTCATCAATTGTGGTTTATTTAATCAATATGTTTAAGGAAATTGAGCTTATAGAAAATATCACTAACAAAAAAAATATTAAAATACAATTTAAAGTCAAATCCTATAATATCCTGAAATTCAGTATACGTTTCATGAAATACTTGTTATATACTTTGTTCAAAATTGCAACCAATTGATCTAATATTTCTTTGACGATTGCGAAGTGAAATATATTTTTGGAATAAAGATCATGTTCCCGAAGAATGAGAAGTTGCAAAAATGTACAACCTCGTAAAAGAAAGATTATAAGTAATATTCTTAAAATTAGATTCAAAATTGTCTTAATTTAGGATTCAAAGAATTATACAACGCTAGAAATTTTGAAAGGTGATGCGTTCAACGAGTTTCAAAATTTCTAAACAATTTGAATCATAGTTTTCATGTGCCATGAATCAAATTTTTTGCAACTTTAGTACTGTGGACAATTGAACTAGATTAAATTAAAATTTAATATCCGTTTAGTTCTTTTAACTATAGTACGCGATTCCGAAGTTCAGCTAAAACAGAAGAATTTATTAAAGATGCATGAAATTCGTACAGAATATGACTAATGATAATAATATTTTAACCCAAAGCTGAACTTACTTTTTCTGCGTTTGTATCTCTGAAAAAAAAAGATTATTTTTTGAAAATAATTTAGTATAACATTTGGCATTATAGTTCATAATGTAGTTTTTAATGTGAACATTTACGAAATTTAAGTCTATAGTTTCTAATTCACTATAATTTCATTTGGGATCTTTTTCAACTGAACTGTTAAATTGAATCAATGAGTTTAAAAACCGGTCATCCTGAATATACTTATACAGGAGAGAGAAAAAAAAACTCAATTGTTTTATATCAGCTTGATATATAGAGCCTCATTTTTATTTTTTGGCGT